CTGCTGCTGCCCCTACACATCACCCTCACCCAGCAGCCTCAGCCTCAGCCTCAGCCCCACCATCAACCACCACCCCCACCACCATCAACCACCTCCCCCACCACCACCGACCGCCACTCTCGACCACTCCTATGCAATCCAAAACACTCTAAACAATGCAAGAACATTCTCACCACTAGTCCCAACCTTTCCACCAACCTTGACCACCACCGACAACCATCAAACACTGGAAACCAACCCCAACAACACTACAACTATTGTGAAACAGCACTTTAAGTGCAGCTGACCAAATATATGTTGTTTGATATATATAACGGCGATGAAAGATCTAGTTTTACTGACAAAATTCAAATTCGGACAAATAAGGGAAATAAACTTCAAATTGTACAAAGAGTCATTTAAAAAACATTTCTTGTATTAATAATGTAAGCGTTATATACTACATTGTTAGATATCTGAGTACCACAAAAACATCAACTAACTAATATTATCCGGACTCATGTATTGGAGTTAACTGATCTCCATCCTATGTGTCCTCCGTCCGTCTACGAACACGCCTCGGACGCCTGCTGTAATGCTGAATGGTGGTGAATGGGTCTTGGGACGGTGGAGTCAGCTGGGTAGATGATGAGTCATCTTGGGTATGGCCGGGAGCGGTGTTATGGATGAAGTAATCCTCTGCCTGTGTAGAGCCCGAAGTATCACCTCCACCACTGCTATGTCCGAAGTCGAACTGTGAATGGTAACCACCTGCGCCACAGCTCTGTCCGAAGTTGAACTGTGAATGGAAGGAGTTGGGGTCATGATCGTCCCTTGGGTGGACGAGATGGCCATGGCCATATCTCTGCAAGCTATGCATGCCCATATCTCGCACCTGCTCGACTTAGGATCTGGTGGGTACAACTGCTAAGGCATCTGAAAGTGCATTAACCATCGCACCCATATCCCTCGCCTGCAGTAATCATCCATGACTTAGTAATATGATATAGAATTTCAAATAATTTTGGAAAACAAGAAAATGAAATAAACTCACAAGTCCGCTGATAACATCATAAGCTGGATGGTAGTGCGTGGACGGTGGCGTGTAGGTAGGGTTGATGAAAAGGCGTGTAATCTACCTGTACCATACCATGTAAGGATCACGCGGATCCATAACACCCTGAAACAGGTGACCGGCAACGACAGACTCCAACCGCTGGTCCCAAAGCTCAATGAATTGATGATGCTCCTGTGCCCAGTTTGTCTCCAACTTTCCCCGACGGTCAATGCCGTGGAGGCGGATACTAGTGTCACAGGCCATGGGGATAGGCTGGTGAAGTCCGAGATGTCGCAATACTCGGTCCGGTAGGTGGCTCTCCACGACCTCGAAACAGATCATGGGGGTCCTGGCAAGCCACTCAGCACGATGCTCGAGCAAGTGTTCCGGCATGGCCTCTACCAACACAGCAAAATAGGGATCCCATGTCATCTGCAATAAGGAAATATCATAAATAGGTTAGGGCAATGCCAATAAACAGTATAAAGAGTAAACAAAAGATTACAAATTTATTGCAAGATTCCACCTGTTCATCCGTGAGTCGGTCGAGGGCGTCACGGTAGTAGAGAAGACCTCTCGCTGTATGTGCATGTGTCAGTCTGGGAACCACCCACCTATGGCAACAAATTATTTAATAAGTTGTACTAGCTAGTTATAACAAAATGCGGCAACACAAGTGTAATGTTACGAACCTACAACCGTATGCCTGATGGGGTTCAGGGAGCGGGGGAGCATCGTACGCTGCGTACTGATCGTCCTGGTCCAGCTGCCCCGGACGGTGTACAACAGGCCTACCTGGTCTCCCTACATGGATGTGCTCCCAAGCCCATAGCTGTTTAAAAAATAAAATAAAAAGGTAAAGTATAAATAACGTCAAGTCATTATCAAACTAGGCTTAAGGATAATGATGAGGTTTACCTGTAGCACAATCAAAGGACCTCCGATCAGCTGTGCTCCACGCTATGATGCTCTACACAGATGGCGATACAAGACCGCCAAACAAGCACTATCCCAACTATATCTACTACATGAATCTATCGTTCTACTACTATAGCTAAAAACAAATACAAGCTTATGTTTCAGTTGATCTAGTTGGGCAAGTTTTGCGGTTGTGACCTTGTTGGTGACAGTAGCTGCATTTAGTCCTAGGTTGGCTAGTCTCATCCATTTCATTGCGTATGTGTTTTGACTTTGGCCGACCTTTCCTCTTACCATGCTGCCGTCCGGGATGAGTCTAGGTCCTGTGTACTGTGTCCAAGTGGTCTGACATGGAATAGGCCAGAACTGTGGTGCATACGTGTTCATATACGCATTTGATTGCAGGAAAGGGTCCACCCACTGCCTCTCTGACAGTGAATAAGTCTCACACACTGCTAGAACATGAGAGCATGGAATGTGGAATATTAGGGGTTTGTTGCATGTACAGGTTCTCAACTGGAAGTTAACAGTGTGTCTATGGCCTCCCTTTCTACCAACTCGCTCCCCCCTATGTGTCGTCACTTGGTAAATGTGCAGCCGACGGTTATAGGCATCCACCCTGTGGTATCTTGCTTTTGCTGTGTTCTTCTCCAAAATAGCAGTGCCCTTTGGGGGATATGCAAGTCCCTTTTCGGCCCTGGACTCAGCAGATTCTCTTTTTAAGGTGAAGTACCTGTTAACTCTGTGGAAAGTTAACTCAATAAGGGACATAACTGGCATGAACCGAGCACCTTTCAAAACATTGTTAAATGTCTTAGAGAAGTTTGTTGTACATATCCCATGTCTGTGACCAGCGTCGTGAAACAAAGGCCACATAGGAAACGACACTTGGGCAATATACTGTGACAATTTGGTACATGCCTGACCAATCGAAAACAAATCAGCTTGCAGTTTTCTTTCTTGCCTTCGGTACGTAGCAGCCTTGAAAGTATCTCTCGTGATTGTGCTTCGCACGTGAGATTTCAAGTTTGAAGCCAAGTGACGAACACAAAACCTGTGATAGGCTTTGGGCTGAGTGAGTCCAATGTTAGGATCATTCATTGCTGCAATGATCCCTGCATGTCGATCAGATATAACACATAAGCCATCTCGTTGCGTAACTCTTTCCCGAAGGCAGCTCATAAACCAAGACCAGCTGGAAATGTTTTCCCCCTCAACCAACGCAAAAGCTAGTGGAAATACTTGGAAGTTTCCATCCACACTTGTAGCTATCAAAAGTGTTCCTTTATACTTCCCGTACAAGTGTGTCCCATCGATACAGATAACAGGCATACAATGTTTGAAACCATCGATACAAGGACTAAATGCCCAAAACACTCGTTCAAACACTTCCATGTTGCTGGTATACCTACCCTCCACTAGAGCTTTGTGTTTCCATATGACTACGATTCCCTGGTTTGACTGTTGCAGTGCTTGCATGAACTGAGGAAGTCTGCTGTAAGAACTCTCCCAATCCCCAAAAATTTGAGTGATGGCTTTGTCCTTGGCATACCATGCTCGTTTATACGGAACTTCAAAATGGAATTGCTTGGAGATGAGTTCCTGTATGAATTCAACTTTTAGAGTCGGATCTTTCTGCACAAAGGACTTCACATACTTAGATATTATGGACGAATCCAAGTGTCGGTGATCAGTACATAGTACTTCGGTAACACAGTTCTCCCAGTGCGGGCCTTTGTATGTGACTATGGTGAAGCCACGCGAGTGCTCACTTGTCCTGGTACCCCTTAGAGACCATCCAAATTTCTTCTTGCAACGCAGATGAAGGACACTCTCATTTGAGGTCACTGTGGTATAGAATTGATTTCTCTGTATAGAATACATCTTCACCATTTCTTGAAGCGTTTTCTTACTGTCAAAGTACATCCCCTTCTCGAATTCTCCCCCTGGAAAAAATGATGTATGACTACCCGAATCGGCCCAATACTCATCAACTTCATAATTCTCATTTATCTGACTAAACCAGGATACTGCAGTTCTAACCAAGGGCTCATCAATTTCCATCTGCCCAGCTTCAAGATCCATGTCATCAAGTCCATCATCCTCCTCCCCATTATCGTCCTCATCATCTGTATCCGCATACACATCGTACACCGACAATTCGTTATTCACAATATTATCAAAATTACTTGGCTCTTCTTGAGACAGTGATGCTTGCACCTCATCTCGCATCGGTGACGGAGCCACGGTGTGTGATGTCAAAGGACCGGATTGGCCGAACATTGTCACACAGCCCCCCGCATGTGCAGGTGATGTTATATGAGGACTAAACCGCATGTGCATCTCCCTCCAACCAGATTTTCTTGAAGCCAAACCTGCGAGCCAAATTCAAACCAAACTGCACTGCAGCTGCTTCAGCCATCTCCACTTCCCACTCCCCTTCATACCTTCGAACTGCAGCTAGTAAGATCTTACCCCTGACATCCCTTGCAACCACCCTAAGACTAACATATACGCCCTGAACAATGTGAGCTTCCACATTGAGTTTAACAAGTCCATAAGGGGGGCAGGTCCAAGAAGATGTCGAGATAAAGGTCACGCTTGAGGATTTATTGAACACTTTTTTAGCGTAAATGCTATAGTCAAGAACAAGCCTAGAGAAAATAGCTGCAACATAAACCGGAGTGAGTGTCATATTCTCACGAACTAGTTTATTTCTGCGATACCAAATAGCCCACGCAAGAGCAAGGAATTGGCAGAGTTAAGGCTTCTCAATTTTTTTGTGCAATCCATAACAATCTCGTTGAGAAAGACAAAGATGGTGCATCCTCTATAAGCTGAGAATAATTGTTACGTTCCCACACCTCCTTTGCAATATTACAGTTAAACAACACATGCATAATAGATTCCACAACAGCACCACAACAATTGCATACCTCATCATTAGCGATATGACGACGATGTAGCTCTTGTTTCACGGCCATACTCCCCTTGCACGCTTGCCATGTGAAATGACTAAGCTTAGGTGGACCGCCTAGATTCCAAACTATCTTCCAAGCCTGCCTTTTATTCTCAGATAAAGTGTTAGCAACCCCTCAACATGACCCAATCTACCGAGCCAATAGCCCGACTTCACTGTATATTCCCCATTCTTCGAAGGCCACCAAAGTAGCTTATCTTCCGGCATCGCATAAGAAATAGGCAATTGGAGAATGAGGTTACGGTCCTGCACAGAAAAAAGGGATTGCAATAAAGCCCCTCTCCACTCTCCGCATTCCTCATTGATCAGCTCTAAGACTCTCAACTCCGGATCAAAGTTCATATCATGTACAGGTATAGCGGTAGGGGGTTTACCAGGGAGCCAAGCATCCTTCCATACTTGTATATTTACCCCATTCCCCACACGCCATTTGAGCCCTTCAAGCAAGAGTGATTTCGAGCCCCAAAGACATCTCCATGAATAGCTAAGGTCATATCCGTGATATGCTTCAAGAACCGAGCTGTTCTTAAAATATTTTGCCTTAAGGATAGCGTGTGTAAGAGTGTTTGGTCTTGTGTGGAGTCTCCAAATCTGTTTCGCCAATAGAGCCTGATTAAAGACCTTTAAGTCTCTAAAACCCATACCCCCTAGATATTTCGGCAAACATAAAGAATCCAAATTATGCCAATGCATCTTCCTAGACGATTCCGTCGAACCCCACCAAAACCGAGCTAACAAAGAGTGAATTTCATCGATTAAACCCTCCGGAATTTTAAAAATGCTCATCATGTATGTCGGGATTGCTTGAGCTACCGCTTTGATCATTACCTCTTTCTCAGGCTTCGATAATAGCTTCTCCTTCCAACCTTGTAACTTTCTCCATATTATCTCCTTTAATGATGCAAAAATCACTTTCTTGGATCTTCGATGATTGTAGGAAGGCGTAAATATTTCTCATGCCGTTCAACCTCGTTTACTCCCAAAATGTTCACAATTTCCTGTCTCCGTTCTTCAATAACACTCTTGCTGAAGACTACATCGGTTTTATCAAGATTGACACTTTTCCCGGATGCTCGCTCATACTTGTTGATAATTTTAGCTATCTTTGAACATTCTCTAACCGTAGCCTTAGAAAACAGAATGCTATCATCTGCAAAAAATAAATGTGAAATTCGGGGAGCTCCATTGCAAATTTTCATCCTACGAATTTGCTTTTCCTTCGCCGCCTTTGTAATCAAAGTAGAAAAAGCATCTGCAACAATGAGAAATAAATAGGAAGAGATATGGTCACCTTGCCTCAACCCTCTAGAAGGAATAACCGAACCAGAAATCCTTCCATTGATTTTGAAGGAAAAAGATACACTCGATAAACAGTCCATGACCCTCCGGACCCAATCATCACAAACCCCATCTTATACATCCCCCGTTCAAGAAAGATCCATTCCACTCTATCATATGCCTTCCGCATATCCAATTTTAAAGCAACTGAACCATTTCTACTATCACCATTTCGTTTCATTGCATGGAATATTTCGAAAGCTACTAAGGCATTATTCGTAATCAACCGTTTAGGGACAAAAGCACTCTGATTTACTGAAATAATGCTATCCAAGAGCGGTTTCAATTTATTTGCCATAGTCATCGAAATAATTTAATATAAGACATTATAACAACTTATTGGTCTAAATTCCATCATACGTTTTGGATTATCACATTTCGGAATTAGCACAACACAAGTCTTATTTACCACATTCAGATCAATATTTCCATGCCACCAATTTTTCACAAAGCAGATAATATCATTCCCAACAATATGCCAAATTATTTGAAAAAATAGAGCATGCATACCGTCGGGTCCCGGGGTTTTATTTGGATGCATTTGAAACAGGGCATTTTTAATTTCATCACCAGTCGGCTCCGCATTCAACATGACATTGATATCATTTGATACCACCTATTCAATTCCTTCAAGAGCCTGCTCGAACTCACTTGGGGAATCAGTTGAGAAAAGAGAGCAAAAATAGCTTTCAACAATGTTTACAATCTCCTTTTTCTTATCTTTCCACACGCCATACTCATCGACTAAACCACTGATGGTGTTAAAAGACCTCCTTTGGCTTGCTTTTTGATGGAAATAAGAGGTGTTCTTATCCCCATCTCGATGTTCATTTGCTCTCGCCCTCGCGTGCCAATAGGATTCTTCCATTCTATGTAGCTCTTCCAGTTCACTCAACAAGGATGAACAAAGCTCCAACATTGCTGCATCAGGTAGCAATCTTGCACCTCCTTCAATTTCCCCTCCACCTCTTTAATCTTATTCTTTAAACTACCAAAACATTTGGTAGCCCAAGAAGTTAGACTTTCCGCACAAGTGGCTAATCTGTTATACTCTCTGCCCACGCCTCCGCTACAACCTTCCCACACTCCTCTCTTGAAAGCCATAAAGCTTCGAACTTGAATTGCTTTTTTTACTCCCTCTTTCATAATAATTACTGGCTGACATAATCAGCGGGGCATGATCCGATTGAAATACTGGTAAATGGCACACCACCAGTTTATGTCACCAAGGAACCTATCAAGCCTCTCACGTTTGAAAAATTCCGGATTCGAACCTTTTCACCATGTAAAAATACTTCCTTTATAGCCCATGTCTTTCATACGACGGTCATGTATCGTATTACGGAATGCATCCATAGCTCTTTCACTCCTTGGGACACCACCCTTTTCTTCTCCATGGCTCACAATTTCGTTTAAATCCCCGAACATAATACACGGAAGAGGGCTGCTCGATTTAATATTCATCATAAGAGTCCATGTACGATGTTTATTTTCAATTTCGAGCCAGCCATAAACACCAATAGATCTCCAAATCGGAACATCATTAAGGTCACCAATGTCAGCAGCAATGTGATGTATATAATAGGAGTTGATCTTCACATTTATATCTTTCCACCAAAAATCAAGACCACCCGAATTTCCATTACTACTCAGACAAATACCCTCCACAAATCCACAAATATGTCTTACTCTCTCCAAACTACTAGCATCAATTTTTGTCTCCATTAAGAAGACAATATTGGGCCACTCTCTCCAACACCACTCTCGGAGAGCTTTAACCGTCCCAGGGTTGTCCACCCTCGGACGTTTCAGCTAAATACTTTCATTGCTCTTCGAGAGTGTGGTTCAATCCAACACGCTCTACTTGATTTAAGCTGTCTCCAGACGATTCAACTACATGCACCTTTGCTCTTTTCCCCTCCACATTATCATCACGGTCATTCAAACCGTACTCCTTTTCACTCCCAAATTTCCTTTCCCCCCCCACTCCCATCAGGTATATCAGTCTCCATAGGCATCATTCTGTCACTCTTTGAATTATTCTCAATTTTTTTTGTCCACTTTTTCAGCTTTGTAGGACACCTTCTAGTAAGAGTATGAGCAATACCCCTGCTTTCTAGACACCTATCATCCAACGAGTCAGAAAAAATTTCTTTATTTCCCCCACCCATCACTATATCTTCCCTCCCATTATCATTCAAAGGAAGAATAATACCCTTCTCTCCCTCATTGTTCCCCTTACCTACAACACCCTCATTACTCTCACCCATCCCCTCATTCTCCACTCCCTCAGTCACACCTTTTGCTCTCAGCACCAGTCCCGTATTTGATTTATTCATCATTGGCACCAATTGAGATTCCCTCACTCTAGGAATTGAGTCATTACTAGTGGGGGATTGAGCAGAGAAGAGTATTTTTTGAGCCACCCCCGGTGGCCGTAACTTGATTACATTAGGATCACTATAGAGCGGAGTTCGGCTCCCTTTATTCATTTTCAGATCAGACATCCATTTAGCCTCCTTCTCACGCAGCATGCTAGGGCCACAAGTTTGTTTCCATGGTGAGGCACGAAGCCATGGACCATATTGATACACTACCTCCTCCTCGTCTTTTGTACGTTCTTTTTGTTGCCATTCTCTGTCAGTGTGATCGAGCATCCCACAAAAAACACAGAAGTCCGCTAGTGGTTCATATTGGATATCAATCCATCGAGAAGAATTTTGTCCAGTAGCAAGTCGCATCCCTCTTTGTAGCAGTTTATTGATATCCACTAGTATCTTTATTCTCATACATTCACCCCATCCAATTGGGTCAGAATCATCAAAATCTAAAAAACCACCTTGAAATTCTCCTATCTCCTTCATTATAGCAGTAGAGCATTTATTGAATGGGACATCCCTCAGTCTAATCCACATAGGCGGGTGAGTAAACTGGACTTCCGACGGTTGCTCATCCCCACACATTTCTTTCAAAATCAAAATTTTATCATAAAAGAACCAAGGCCTCCCTTCCATAACCCTCCTTTTATCATCCTCATTAAAAATTTGAAACACAAAGAGGTTTGTTTCAACCATTCTTATCGCAATATTATCGCGCAGCCGCCAGACATTCATCAAAGTTTTCTTCATTGCCTCAATGTTGAACGGTTTAATTGTCCAAAGTTTCCCTACCAAAGATAAGTCCAATTGCACCTTCACATCCACATCGTCGCCATTCGAAAAATCATCACCCACAACAGTTTCTTCTTCTTTAGTGAGTTGGAATTTTTCCCATTGTTTGATTAGTTCATCCTCCATAGTTATTAAGACGAAATTAAGTAAAAAAATTGCATAGAAAATTGGGGAAATTGGTCACAACTTGATTGGGAGAACGAATAGAGCAAACCCTAGGCAAGAACTACGGGACCTTATTCGAGAGACTTAATAATTAGTCCGAGCTATTATTATTATTATTATTATTATTATTATTATTATAAATCAAAAACAGACAAAGTCATACAACCTACAATAAATTAGTGGGAAGCCGAGATAAAATTTGGGCCCCCACTCCTCTAGGTATATCAAATCCTATCCTAGTAAAAATATGAGCAGCAACTCGTGCCCTAACATCCAGAGTCGTCGAGACCTTCTGGACCCGCTTCAGCAATGCAACAACCTCATTGTCTTATTATTATTATTATTATTATTATTATTATTATTATTATTATTATTATTATTATTATTATTATTATTTTTTACGGTAAGAATACCCTATGCCATGTGGCCCATTAGCATGATGACACGTGGCAGCCCACCAGAGGCCCAACGGGATCAAATCAGATGCTGACACGTGGCATTGAACCCCCAATGGGGGAGCAGATCTTCATCTGCTATAAATAGAGGAAATTCCTCATTTATTACACATTCATAGATACATACACAAAACCCGAGCAATATTAATTGCGGAACCTCTCTGAATCAGGGAGAAAAACCTATTTACTTTCCGCCCGTTTACCCATCCGGAATCATACTAACTTGATCATCGGAGGCGGAACTCCACCCAACCGGAGTTTTGTGGTTTTGCAGGTACAGACGTCAGACGCGCATACTCAGGATTGTAACTCTCACGAGGGACTCTAGAAACCCCCGAAACATTTGGCGCCATATGTGGGGAGAGTACCGTGTGCAGGGGGCAGCTGGCCTACGGCTGACCCTGAGGTCCATACGGACCATGACAGTGGTGACGACTGTGAGGTCGACACTTACATGGCCTCAGACGGGTCATTTCGTTCCAGGCGCACCCGTTCCAAAGAAAAGAAGGAACGAGGCCAAGCCAAAGCTGGACCAAGAAACCCAGGTGGCAAGCACCCTGGGCAACCCCAGGCGGCGGAGGGCACAACCCCCGTTACCAGAGACAAACTCATGAATCTCATGACTAGTTTCAAGGGGGAAATTAAAGACATAATCAAGAAG